GTTTGAGACATAATAAGAAAGGTCTAATCTTGTCATATGTCAAAAATCTATAATTCTTGAAGAGTTAAAAGAATCCTTAATTCATTTAATATTCGAAGAACTAAAGATTAAAATTTGTTCAATTGCTCCACCTTAGAAAGTAGCATAAATTCAATCGTTTAAAAGATTAAGAAAACATGAAATATCAGTGACGTGTTCAAACAAAACAATCCTCTAAGTGCAAATGGTATATGCCATGTCCCCTTCTTCAGCTGTCAATGCCCCTGAATCCATCAGGTTTTGGATCTTGCGTTTCAGCGCCTTATAGTTCTCAGAGGAATGTTTGGAGCATCCTATGTGGCAACTACAAATAGCTTCAACATTGTAGCCCTTAGGATATGTGGACTTTTTTCTCAGATCATCTTGGCAGGTTTAGTCGTACAACCAGTTGATTGGGCTCATTCGTTGTGATAGTTTTTTTATGATGTTACAATCTTGCTTCCATGTGGTGTCATGTGGTTAAAACCACTTCATCGAATTCTCCATGAAGAGATTTCATGTTTATGAAAATACTTAAAAAATGAAATGTATATGCAAAATGCATAAATCCATGAAATGTTCGAGGCATTGATCCAAAAACATGTATGTTATTGTAAATAACCTTTATTGGGACAAAAATGTTTTATCTTTTAAGAGAAAATAAACATATTTAAAGGTACATCCGGACTAAATCCTCTAGGCCCGGAACCGGTTGACTAGTCATTTGCCTTCGTCTTTTACCGGGTTGAATAACCTGTTGAACCGCTCCGACCTCTCTGGATGAACCGTGAAAATGTTGAGTTTTTTTTTGTATTGGTTCCCAAAAAGTGTCGAATGACTTCATCTTTGGCTTTCATCCTTTGCTGAATTGGAAATTCCATTGAAATCCTCCATCAAAGGGATTATTCGAAGTTCATTTGCTTGTTTCTTGAATTTGTCGACAGTGACTTGCCATCTTGTTCTTGTTGTCTTTGAATGGACTCTCGAGGTCAGTAACCTTTTTCTCGTCTTGCCCCTGCCACCTTTGTCAACCCATTTTTGAAAAGTTAACTTTTGATGTACTTGATTGCGGGCACCATGAATGTGACACATAGTTGTCTTGCAAATTGTCCTCATTTTATTTCTGAGCCCTTTTCGGACCATAGCCGGACCCATGCATTCTTATCTCTTGTATTACAACCCCTTTGTCCATTAATGCAGATTATTTACGTTTAACAAACACATTTTTGGTGGATCAACACCCCGTTTTAAATGATGCGAATGATAAAAACATAATAAAAGAAGACAAAAATAAAAGAGTTAGTGAGGTAAATCAAAACAGTAATAAAAATAAAAAACAAATCCTACCCCACATGATATCTACCCCTCATGCTTTAATTCCTACCCAGACATGATTTCTATTCCGCAGGCTAATTTTAAACAAATCCTAACCGCATATTTGTCTAGTTCGCATGCTTTGAACAGAAAATAAAGCAGGAAACAAAGCATCCTAGGGTTCGGAATGAGGTTTTGGGGCGGGCTCTACTTCCCTGTACTCTCTCGGTTTAGGTTCTAAAAACGGTACTCGAGTTCTCCTTGCCGGTGCCCCCTTGGGCTTACCAGACCCTTAGTCCTAAACCCATCACAGGCTTGTGTGGACTAAGTTAAACTCGAGGGGACACATTCCCTTATGCCCATACGGAGAATAAATTCACACGAAGACATAAGGTATATGAATCCCGAAGGCTACTTGCTAGGCCCGCACGGTGAATAAATTCACACGAAGGCGTCGCTTTCACCCCCACTTAAAAGGGTTCGGAGCTCAGGTATAGAGCCTGAGATGAAACTTTTCGAAAATCTGAAATCATTGAAAAAATGTTAGTACAACTATTTACTTGGAAAATAATCAAAGGTAAATAATTGGAATCGAATAAATAAATTTAAATTTAAAATCTTCGCATAAAAAGACAACCGAAAATTAATTCTGGCCTGACTCACTTACCGGTCCCCAGCGGAGTCGCCAAGCTGTCGCAACCGTCTTTCGGGTTGGGCCCCGGAATTGGGCTTTGACTTGAGTGATTGGGTTGGGAGTCGCCACCGACCATTTTAAAATGAATTTAGGTGGGTCGGACACCATCTTACCTGATCTGCGTTGTACCAGAAACGTGTCGGGTTCGGGAGTCGATTACGGTCAAGGAAGGGTTAGCACCCTTGAACCGCCCTTTCGGTACCAATTAATTTGTCGGTTGTCTTAGTTGCGAAAATTTAAAATTTAAATTTAAATTTAAAAACTCGATTCACATTACTTACCTTTGATTGGTTGGAGTTCTTCTAAAAAAGGTCAAAATGTTAGAAAATATAATAATAGACAAGTGTTAGATAAATCAAAAAAAACATAAAAAAGAATAAAATAAGGTATCGACTTAGAGGATCAAATTGAGACAAATTGAAATTAATGGACTAGATTGGTATTAAAATGAACTGCAAAAGAGAAAAGAAAAGTTAGGTGCCAATTCACGAAATATAAAAATATAAGCATGGACCAAATTGATTAAATTGGAAATTCGGAGGCAACTTTACAGGTAGTGACCAAAATGAATTGCGACTCAAAGTATCAGGGACGGCGGAAAGGATTTGACAATCCTGTAATTGCACTCTGGTCCTTCGTATATAAAAGGCTTAAAACCCCTAATTTTCTCTCATTTTCATTTCACTCATCTCTCATAATTTGAGAGACAACGATCTCTCTGAGGCTCCCTCGCCTGGGGTTGTCCGGCTGCCACCTCCGCTGCGCCGGCCACCACGCCGGCCACCGCTAGCGGTGGCCGAAATAAATCCAAGCCTACCAAAATGATCCCCTCCACGTAGCGAACACTAACCCGAAGCCTATACCCCCAATAATTTCACCGATCGGAGTAGATCTAAAAAAAAAAAAACCCTCGAGTTTACCTTCTTCCCGACGAGGCTTTTCGTCTTCCCGGTGCTTGCTCCTTATTTTGCTTGGCTTTTGGTTGTTACTGCTTCTATTGTGGTTTGCTTACTGATGTCTGTTTGGTTCTGTTTTCGTGTGTTTTGTATTGTTGATGCTGTATTGATGTTGTGGTGTTGTGATGTTCGTCGTGGGTATTGTGTTTCTTCTGGTTCCTTCTTGGTTTATTGTGGCTATGGCTTTTTTATCCCCCTGTTCTCGGGGTTATCTCCGTCGTATTTATAGGCCCCGATGGGGGTCCGTTTCCGACTATTTTGGGGTCGATCCCGGATATTCCGGGGTCGTTCTCGGTGATCTCGGATGGTTCAGTCCGAGTAGCTCCGATTTGGTGCTGCACGTGGCCGGAATCCTCGGCTGGCCGGTGACTTTAGATCTTCTGGAACCCTTGATCTCGACCGTTGGATTGGGTCAGATCCAACGGTCCAGATCTGGCTGCGCATTGATGAAGCTTTTAGGGCTTCAGAACCCTAGCAATCACGCGATCTGAGCCGTTGATCACTGCTCGATCTAACGGCTATAAGCCATGCGGCGCTGGGACTAAGTTGAGAAACCCTAGCTCAGAAACTGGGCTGGCTCAGGCCCGACTTGGCTCACTTGGACCCCAAAATAGACCTGGACAATTAAAATGAAAATAAAATTAATAAAAATAAATAAATAAAAATAAACAACAACGATAATAATAATAATATGAAATATTTTCTACAAACTATATAATATATATTTTCAAAAGTATTTTAAAATTATATATTATATATATTTTAAAAACGTTTTCAAAATTATATAGTTTTCAAAATGTTTTTTTTTTAAACTATATATTATAAGTTTTTTAAAATGATTTCAAAACTATATAATATATGTTTTCAAAATGTTTCTTTTTTAAAAAATTATTTATTTTAAAAATGTTTTTTTAAAACCGTATAATATATTTTCTTAAAAACGTTTTAAAAACTATATATATATTTTCAAAGTGTTTTAAAAACTATAAAATATATAGATGTTTCAAATATGTTTTCAAAACTATATTATATATATGTATATACAAAAAAATGAGACGAAATGGGTGTCTACAGGGATATGATCCTCTAAATATGTTTAAAGAACTAAGAAAAACTGCACATTCTAAAGCACATCCTAAAGATTAACTTGTGAGGTAACCTGCTAAGTTGCCATCTATGTTACTGGACTTCTATTTTTTTTATTCTAATATACCCATATTCGGACATGATTATAAGGTTATGATCCTCGAGAGTAAGGAAAAACCCGGTAAATTTTGAGTATACTCATATTGAACATATACCCGAATCCAAGGTTCATCACAAGTTCGAGTAATATAGACTTCCACTTCATATGTATAAACAGCATCTGAATTTCCGTATAAAAGTTAAAAAATTGTGATTGTGTGGCCCATGACCTCAAGCATTCCCATTTTGTACTCTCTTCTATTCTTTTCTCAAATCAACCAATCCAACAGCTTCTTCTTCCCATTCACATTGCTAAATAAACATAATTAAAACCATATATAAGTCCATTTAGCACTTAAATAAGCCAAAACCAGGTCAAATTTCAGCTCATAAATAATTGTTTTTTGATAGAAATTGGAGGTCTCATTAAAAACTCCCTTCGTATTCTTCCACATTGGAAGGAAGAAAAGAGTGCCTCATATTTTATTAAATAGAATACCAAGTACATGTGATAACACCGAACCCTCAAAAGGGAATATACACCATTACAAAAACCATATCACCTAAAAATCTTCCATCTTCAAACAAGAAACCCCGAAGACAAACCTATTTCTAAAGAAAACCGCACTATGAAAGATAACATAGCAAAATAAAAACCAACAATTACAACCACAATCTAAAAAAACGCCTTTGAAAACAGCTGACGAACAATCTAAAAAAACCAAGGTCAAATCTTTCATGCAAATTTCAGCAAATATTCAAAAAAAAATCATGTAAAAAAAACCTCAAGTCGAGATTAAAAGTAGAAAGGTAAAAGCCATAAGAAAAGGTACTTTGAACGACGGTAGCTTTAGCGCTATTGACAGCCGATTCAAGAAGTTCGGGATTGATTGTATTAAAGCCGTTGGGATCTTGGAGCTTCCTTTCGAGGAATTTAGCCAAAGCAGCAGCTTTATTAGTTGTTAAAGGTCCTCCTGGATGAGCCAATCTGCAATTCTAATTACAACTCAGAAAGAAAAGAAGATTTTTTAACCAAATTTAAAATTAGAAACAACGAAAGTTAAAAAAACCCAAACCCTAACCCTAACCCTAACCTTAACCTTGACCTGGGTTTCGAAAGGGAAGGAGGAGGGAGAGGAGCAAATTTGCTGCCTCTAAGTGCTTTCCTTTCCTCTTCGCTTAGTAGTTCTATTTCTCTTCTCACCATTTTCTTCTTTATTTGATCCTCGTCTTTCTTAATCAAAATTCAAACACCACCATAAAGGTTTTCAACCTTATATCCTACTTTGACTTGGCGGCTCCAAGATTTATTGATTTTTTATTTTTTTATAGGAAATATTTAAGGAAAGGCAGAATAATGTTAATAATATTTATAATAAAATAAGTAATTAACTTATTTTGTTATCGATGAATTTTTAAGGTTTATCAGTTTAAATTTTAGTAGTATTTTAGGCATAATCTAATATGTTGATAATATTAATAACAAAATAATTAATTTATTTTTTATCGATGAATTTCTAAGGCCCATCAACTTAAACTCTTATAATATTTTAGGTATAACATGTTATCTTATTTACTGTTGATAATGTTTCTAATAATTAATCTAAATTATTAAAGTCAATATTTTTTAACCCATTTTACATACAAACGATAACATTTCCGGTATCGTTTTTAACCAATCACCTATTTAATCGGTCACGCCATTTATAAATTGTTTAATTCGAATAATTACGTTCAGAATCTTCAAGGATGTATATATATATAATTTGATTTTTAATTAATATATATATATAATTTTGAAAATAATGTTTCAAGTGTAAAATAGAAATATTTGAACTCAGATATCGTTGAAAATTCTCAATTTTTTTTACAGAATTTTTTATATATTATATATTGAATAATTAATCGAATCTTCAACGATCAATATTATTTAAAATCTAAGTTTTATTTCTTATATTATGTCAAGGGATTCTTAAAAGGATCGCGTAATTGAAAGCACGTTAATTTTTTTAAACAATTCTTACTTACGGCGAAAGGAAAATAAATTTTACTGATAGTAGGTAATGAACCTATAATATAAGAGAAAGTAGAAATATCAATTGAGAGTTTTTACTTCATGCTTTAGAAATTGTTGACAAAACATATCAAATACTTAAAACTTAAAAAGAATGGTGTGCGATGCACGTCGATCCAAAGTAGTCAAGATAAAACCTTAAAATAAAATAAAAAAGAGTTGATCAAACAAAATGTAAGTATTTTATTTTTGGGATTTGAATTCTCGACTTATAAAAATACAAGCCACCATTTTGTAATTGTACTGTCACTTAATTTAACCTAAAGATTTATAAAGACAAGAACGTCTTAAAATCTTGAAAGGGTTAACCTAAAACTGGAAAGCAAGCATTTATATATGAGATCACTTGAATCTATTAAGTGATTTCAGTGGTACAAGAAAATATTGTTCTCTTTAGAGATTTTGGATTCGAACAATTATTTTTGTAGAATATGTACATTGCTAATGATTAAAAAAGATTTCAAACATGTACTACCTTATAATCATTCGAGAAATATTATGTGTGTGTGACTAATCTCTTCAAACATTTGTGATACTTTCAACTCTATTAATTTCAACTAATATCAATTATTGGAAGTTTAATAATTATTAGAAAAATTACTCTTTATATATATTTTTTCAAACGAAAATAAAAAGATTTCTCCCTCGATATGTATTATCATTCCCCATTGTATACTTGCTTATGTCCAATATATCTGATTTGATATTGTATTTAAAAGGCTTAATATCTAAAATTGTCCTTCTACTTCAATGAAAAGTTTAATTTACTCACTTTTATTATTATTATTATTATTTTGGTCAATTTAGCCTCTTAAGTTTCAATTCATTACCCTTTGACACTTTTCAATAAAAATGTAATGTGGCCTAATATGGATCCACTCTATACAATAAATATTTTTTAACTTTGTTTTTTACATGTGACGGTATTTGATTAGATCACATCATTATTTTTACGGAAAATGATTTAGGGTTAAACTTAACAACAATAAAAAAAGTTGGACCAAATTGACTGAAAATAACAATAAAAGGTCTAAAGTGATAATATCATTGAAAAAAATGTAGTAGTAGGAATTAAGCGTAAATATAGATTATAGACGCATATTCATACTACGCTCGTTTCGGCTTAAACATAGACAAGTAATGCTACATTATACTTTGTAGTAGCAATGCCCGTTGCGAGAATCAAACATAATCTAGGCCAAGGGAACTCAAACTCGGGTGGTGTCGGACACACGTATCAAACTCGATTAACAAAGCATTTCACGAACTCGGGGTGGTGTCGGACACACGTGTCAAACACGAGAAACAATGCATTCCTTGAACTCGATTTGGTGTCGGACATACGAGTAACAAAGCATTCGATAAATAATTCAGTAAAGTTATATCTCCTCTCGATATATTTACTTATAACTTTGAAGACAACAACAAACTAAAAACAATTACAGGTCATGTATCTCCCACATCAGATTATGGCCATCTATCTACCATGGTGAAACAATTGGTTTGCCAAGGGATGGATAGATGAACAAATTTGCAGAAAAAAAAATAAGAAAATCATCCTTAATTTACAAATGATTCCCCTAAAATTCTAAAAAATAATAATAATGCAGGCAAAAAAGCAATAGGTGTCAATCCAATGGTTGAATGAGATTTTTGGTTCGACTAGACTCTATTCGCCGGTGTGAGGTATTGCAGTCACTTCGGAAAAATGGGGGTCTTGGAATTGCACCTGCAAAACATGGATAGGGGTCCAAATGCCACTGCAAAACCTCACCCCTCCTACATATTTCATCAGTATATTTCAGACTAACCAAGCAAGAACCTGAAAACATCAGTCAGCGAGATAATGCCTTCTACACGGTTACTTCCAGCTTCCACGATGACAAGCCGTCTAACACCTGAAAATTAGGTTATGGGAAAATAACATCATATGCCAATACATTTTTCACAAATGTATCACGTGATTTATGGCAGAATAGATTGCAATGCTACTTCAGGGATCTAAACGCCATCAAATTCATTATCGTTCTTCAAAATGAAAAAACACATATGTAATAGAGTTTAAGAGAGTCACCCGGGCTTGCCAATTGTTCCATCACTTTAAGCAATGTATCGGTACGCAAACACATCTGACATCTTTGGCTTCTCATTTCAAAAGGAGCGCTGGAACCTTGTCCCAGTTGCAACGCCTAATGAATAAATAGAGAAAAAGGATTAGGGAACAAGTTTTCGGCATTATACGAAAATTCTCAGTTTCCAACTAGTTAGGATCAGCAGAATCCAACTAGTAGGATCATCCATGTTATTCGGGCTCTGAGGTGAATGTGGATATGGGTATGTATCCAGACAGGGATATGCTCAATTTTTTCTAATCTTTCTCGTATGTTTAGAGAATTACACCCTCATATCCATGCCCGAATATATGTTAGAAATTAGTGTCAGACATGGATACTTTTGAGGAAAATGAAGAATCAAAACAACATAGGTGACCAATACAAAAGATGATCAAATTAGAAATATGGGGGTAATCCTTTTATAGTGTTTGAAGGAGCAAGGGGGTCAAAGCCCTTGCTTGCCACACATTGTATCCGCGCTGGAATCTAAGTTTTTCATCAACACATCCAAAGGCATAAATGAGAGAAAAGGAAAAACCGAAGTTACAACACTTACCTGATAAACAGTCATGTCATTTAGATTATGTGTATAAGCTCTGCCTTTTGCCAAAGCTGTTATGTCACTGAAAAAAAATATTATGAACGGCAGTCACCTTCAATCCAAGCTGGTTGTAGGTTTTGCATGCTAGAAAGATGATCAATTAAGAACATCTTACCTCCGGGAATAAATGTCCAGTAATGAGTCATTATCGTCAACTATAGGTATTGAACTTACTCGAGCTGAGAAGAAAAACAGCAAAATCTCTTATCATAACACAAAAATAGAAGAATATGTCGTATCAATTTGAGGTGCCCTCTAGAGGAATTAAACCTAACCTAGTTCTCCATATCCACTCTCTTATACATCCATAAAATGCTGACAAAACAGGAACCATACCTTGAACTAACATATTTAAGGCTGAACTAAGAAAAGCATTAGGTCTCAGCATACTATGACAAAAAACCTTTTCTGGAGTGAGAGAAGTTCCCGCTTCTCTCTAGGGCCCAGGTGTTTTTAAATTTAAAAGTGTTGTCTCATTCGTCTGTTGCCCGCTGGCCGCTGCCGCCGCCCGCCGTCTGCTGCCGCCGTCAGCCGTCCGCCGCCACACTCTGACCACCGTTTGACGCCGCTTTTTCCTAGGATGGTCGTCTGCTCACGGTGAATACAGATCTGGACTTGCATTTGCGAAAAACGCTGTCTTTAGTCGCAGATCTACACTCGTCCTTTGCAGATTTTCGAAGCCTCCAGCCGTCCGAGTTCGCCTCCGCCACTCAACCCAGCGCAGTGCCTAAACGTGACCTAATCCCGTCTTCTCTTGTGTCGAGCAGTGGTGTACAGCTGAGTATTCACCATGGAACCCCATCCAACGTCTCAACCCAGCCAACTTCGAGGGTTTGACTCAGCTGGTGCGGTGGCTGCTTCCTCCGTGAGGCCTCCTATTGTTCCTCCTTCATCGTCTAGGAGTTCTCATCTCCCGCTTGAACCAGACTGCCGTGTTGCAGTTGGTGATATCCCCCTGGAGTCTGCCAAGGAATTAGAAGCGAAAGTGAAGGCTCTTAAAGCATTAGTGGCAGAGTTGAATAAGCGGGTTAACGATTTAAAAATGAAGGAAAATGCAGTTCCACGAGGCAGTCTTCTCAAGAAATCTGGATCCGCTGGTGCAGCCTCTTCATCTTACTCCGGTAAGGACAATCGTAAAATTGAGAATGAAAAGGAGAGGACAAGGTTACGGAAACCGCAAAGAAGAGTTTTTACCAGACGCTTGTTGGCCGGATTGAGACAGTTTGGTAACTTCTCTATTCCACCGAATGCTGCTAAGAACGATGTTTTGGCAGCCTTGGCACGTGAGGCGGGTTGGATAGTTGAGTCCGACGGCACCACTTACAGACACTCTCCTTCAACCCAAATCAACAAAATTCGGGATCATTTTCGGCGAGGTCGGGTGAAAATCCACTATCATCCAGTCCTTTGAAGAAATGCTCACAAGAAGGGAAACATAGGAACGGAAAGCTGTCTTTTGTTCATGCAACACCAACGCTTCCAGTCGCTAATGTTGATCATGGTGGAGCCAAGGAGATCTATTCGAAAGGGTATTCCGATGCAAAATTTTCCGAAGTGGTGGGAAGAAGAAGAAATGGGTTTTATAATCGGTCGAAAGAAGGCCAACCAGATTTTCGCAATGGGTCCATAAAGGATTGTTACACGATTTTTATCGAAAACCTTCCAGAGAAGATCCATTGGAAGAAACTTGGATCCATATTTGGCTCACATGGTCAAGTTATTGATGCCTTCATTCCCAAAAAAAGAAACTCGAATGGGGTTCGTTTTGGGTTTATTCGCTTTGCTACAATTGAAGAAGCAAGGACATCGATTTCTAAGATGAATGGTTATCATATTTACGGCAACAAAATTAGAGTCTCTTTGGCTAAACATAAACCCCGACAGTCTTACTGGCGAAAGTCCTCGAAAGTTGTTCATAGTAAGTCGGGGCTGGAAGTTTTCCGACAATTAAACACTGTGAAGTTGAGGGTGTTGTGGACGCAGATAAACTTCATGTGTTGTCTAACTGTCTTGTGGGGTGGTGCAAGAACTTTATCAAGATTGGTAATCTTGCTAACCAATACAAGCCAAAGGACTAGCGGGTTTCACGCTTATGAGAGCTGCTGGAAATGTAGTTCTAATGGTTTTTGAAGATTCTAATTCGTTGAGATGCGTGAGGATGAAAAGTTAGAAACTCTTGCAGAATGGTTTTCCAGAGTGGAAACTTGGTCTGAGAGCCTTGTGGTGGAGAGCCGGCGCGTTTGGCTAGTTTGCGAAGGTATTCCTTTTCACGCTTGGAATTGGGATACTTTCAAAAATAGCTACTAAGTGGGGCAAGTTAATAGCATCGATAACAGTTGTGAGTTCCCTTCGTCTTTTGATCGGCTAAAATCCAAATACTCACAAACGCTCAAGTGAGAATTAATGAGTTGTTGGAGTTGAAGGTCGGGGATCATTTATTCAAAATCTTGGTGCATGAAGTTGATCCTTCCTTCAAACCTAATTCTTGGGTTCCTGAAGATTGCGATATTTCTTTAGATCTTGATCCTCCAATTGGGTTGTGATTGTTCGGCTGCTGTATTCAGAGGCGTTTTTAAGTTTGTGGTTGTAATTGTTGGTTTTTTGTTGTTGTTATGTTATCTTACATCTTGAGGTGATTTAGGGGCTTTTTGGTTGACGATGTAAGATTTCTAGGTGATATGGGTTGTATTGGTGTTTATTCCCGTATGTGGGTTTGGTGTTACCTCATGTACTTAGTATTATATTTAATAAAATATGAGGCACTCTTTTCTCCCTTCCTTGTTCTTCAACATACTTCTAAGTATGTGGAAGAATACGAAGGGAGTTTTTAATGAGACCTCCAACTTCTATCAAAAAATTAGGTCTCAGCATCGCAAATGGCCGGCAGTTGGATTCTCCAATTTTCGGAACCCATGTACCCAGAGGGATAGCACAAATTGGTAATTGTAGCATGGGAAAGGAGCCGGAACCATGTCTAAAATACCTGCATACACCTAGAAATCAAACCCCATTGGTTAGGGAGAAAGAAACCAATTACTTCTCAACAAATAAAGAGAAACAAAATGTTAATTGACAACACTATTAAAAGGTGCACATTTTAGTATTCCAGAAAGCGATGCAAGATGTAATAATTGGGGCAATGAACCATCTTCAGAGGATGAATGGATGACAGGAATCGTGGCGACTCCATTTTGCAAAAATTTCAAAGCTAAATCCTTCAAATTATCGCTTGGCCCAGCCTGCATGACCAACAAGAGAGTCAATAACACCACTTGTCTATGCCTCTCACAAATGGCATGGCAGAACGGAAAAAAGAGAAGAGACAGAAAGGCAATGACTTGTTTTCTCACTGGATGTGATTCGTAAAAATGAACTACAGCTACATTGAAGTTGAGCTGAAATAAGGTTCCAGGACGACATCATAGCAAAACAAATATCTAGTTATAGTGGTAACCATCCAGACCTAGACTCACACTACACCTGGATAATGTATGCATATGTCTATACTACCTCAATAACAAAACCAGAAAAACATGAATGGAGAAGCAACTTGCTTCATTTGTACAAACAAACAGAAAATGCACATGCAGGTGCAAAATAACAACATCTTTCTTAAGTTATTATCCATGGCAAAGCATTAAAACACTAACAAGGATGATTTGTCTTGGAATTGGTCTTCCGTGTCCATCAACTTGCCCATTCATGTATGCCTTTCCTTCTTTCCAGGCAGCAATAGTGTGTGTTTCAAGCTCTTCTTCTGTTAAATTTGATCCATGATTTCCAAGCTGCATAACAAAATGAGTATGCATTCAGAGAAATACACCGAAAATATATCAATATATCAGACTAATACTTAGTTTAATTAAGAAACTTTCCTAGCACAAAAAACACTTGATTAGAATCATGAACAACCTCTCTCAGAATCAAAATAAAATCCGAAGCACTAATAACTCCAACAAATTTCCCTTGCTGAAGTCCCAAGCGGAGCAACAGGGATACCCTGAAACGGCTCGACTCAGAAAAAGATATGTATACAAGCTCTTTATCAGCAACAATCAAATAGGCATGAACATTACTAAGAATGCAAGTAATGTCCATGGAGAAATCTAGATACATCTACAGCTAGAAAAAGGCTCTAAGAAGCAATGATTAGCAAAGAAAAGTACAGACACACTCTATCTTTTGGAACATGTATTACCAAAAAAAGATCAGGAACGCACAGATATCCCAAAAATAAACTAAACTCTAGCCTGTGGATGAACTAAACAGATACCTGCTCAGCCAGAATATGAATTTTGACTGCGGGCAGCCTGTCATCCTCTTCTGAAATCCTAGGCATTACTTGATTTTAATATAACAGCAGAAAGTTGCTGCTGGTATTGCAAAAAGGTATCAAAATCCGCTTACATGAGAAAAAAAAGGAAGTAATAAATGAATAAATAAATAAATAGATGTAGTACGTACTGAGCATGTGTTAAGAACTAAAATGAAAGCACCAAAACAGAAAATACTACAGTGCTTGCAATGCCCATCTAATCTCTGACGAGTTAAATTGATATTATAAAAAAAACCAAATCATTAGAGTCCATTTGACATTGCGATTGGAATTGCATTTGACTGCAAACTTATGCCAAACTAGGCCAAATTATCAACATCCATCTCAAAACTAGGCTAAAGAAGGAAAATACTTCAGGAAAATGTTATGCATAAATCTATACCATGACACTGTTATCCACTCTCATGTTATTAAGAACCTCTGAATGAGGTTGTACCTGAGGAATGACCTCTGCAGGTACAGGCCTAGTGTCGAAAGTATTAACCATTCCATATTCGCTGCTCCTATAAGGTTGTTGTTCATCATGTCGCCATTCACCATCGACAAGAAACTTGTATATGTAAGAACCAACACAAACAATCAAATAAAGTACAAAGAAAGGTCAGGGCTAAAAGATTTGAAATCACATGCTCTATAAGTCGACAATAAAGTCACCCAAAACTAAATATCCACTCATTTCAACTAATAAAGTGACACAGCAATTATATAAGAGCACTGAACATATTAAAAGATATGTTACTCAATTCAAGTGTAAGAGTCAACACGGGTACATTTCCAAAATTTGTATGTTCAATTTCAATGGAGCAAACTTGGAGAGTTATATACCCATAAGTATATTAAAAAATGCGTCAAATTAGGTGTCAGATACCAATAAATCAAGAAAAATGACAGTCGCAGCAACAATGTTAGAAATTACAAAAGTTTCTAAAAGTTTGAATTTCCATTCCTATAGAGCAAACTAACCACCAACCTCGTGAGAACCATGTGGCACGGCACAAACGGCTTTAAATACATTGGGGCAACCTTCAACCTGTGACATTCCCACGAGCTCAGTCCACCTTCAATTCAAACGATAATACATTAATCCAATTGCTAATCATACGCCTAAATATCATATCAATAGCATGTTTAAGAAAAAGAGAAAAGATTATTTAAAGTATCACCCATTGAAAGAGCCGGAAACAGAGACACTTCTTCCACCATATGGCCATGTAAATTGAATTGGAAACAACACCATGCCGGCCGTGGAAACTCTGCCGCCATCCCTCGCCCGATTCATATCGGAAGCAAACATTTGGCAGCCGCCTTTTTAATTGAATTAATCCTTTGAAACAACCAAAAGGGGGGAAAGAATTTTTCAGTAATCAACTCCCTTTTTTAAGACAATTTTTATCTTCTTCAATCACTGCAAATAAAGAAGAAGAAAAAAGCTCAATAAAGCAACAATAATAACACCGAAGACTTACCTTTAACTTGATTGCACGGACAACCTGGATTTTTTACGAAACAGAAAGTGAGAATTGGAACTCAACAAACAATGGAGGCAAAAGGGTCGAATTTGTTTTGGGGGGAACTGTTTAATTGAGGATGAGAAAAATAAAAATCCAAATCTGAAAAGGGATTGCCCAAGTAAAAAATAAATAAAAGTTCGAATTTTTCCTGAATTTATTGAATGTGGGTGAAAAGATCGAGATTGGGGTTCTTGCGATATGGAATCTGCTTTTCTTAATAAAAATAATCTTTTATTATTAATAATAATAATAATTTTGCAAACCCTAAGGAAGAACAGATGAAAGCTTTGAAAGGGACATTGTCTTCGGGTAAAATATAAGGAGATTTGATGCTGAAAGTGAAAGGGGATTTATATATATGTAATATTCATTATTTTTCTTTGTTTTACCATCTGTTTCCATAAGCATATTATAAAAATTAGGATAAACTCATATTTAGTATCTCAAACTATTATTTTGTTTCGTTTTGATCAATTAATTATTATTTTTCAAAACAATGCATAACGTTATGTTTTAATTTCATTTTGATCATTCGCCGTTAAAAAAATTAACATATCTGTTGATGTGGTATATTTTTTAAGCTTCTTCAATGATGACATGATAATATCTTATGGCAATACATCAACATCACTATTAAATTTTTAACAATTGGTGGTCAAAATGAAATTAAAATGTAATGTTAGATATGATTTTGAAAAAAAATTAGTTAGATTATCAAAATAAAACAAAAATGATAGTTGGAGTACTAAATGTATTATTTAATCTAAAAATTATCTTTTAGTTTTTTTCTTTCACAATTAAAATTTAATTTTATCTAACATTCTAAAGTATGATCATTTAATTATTCATATGATACGATATAGTATTAAATGAAGTTTACGATAATAATTATTGTTTGATTTTAATTTTGTTTAATTAATATTATTAATAATGTAAAATAATATAAATATATAAAATTAAGTATATTTTAATGTTTAATATTGTTTAGAGTAAATTCTATTTGATGATCCCTTTATTTTCAATTTGTCTTATTTTGATCATCGATTTTAAAAAAGTTATATTTTGATTCCTTTTATTTTCAATATATCTTATTTTGGTCACTCGATCTTCAACTCTTGTTGGTTTATTGACCCTTAAATCCGATCAAAATATCCATCACCACTAGGGTGCTTAATGAGTCAAGCAGCTCGTAAGTTGTTCGAACTTGACTTAATCAAAAAGTGGTCAATATTTAATTCAGGTTGACTCGACTCGAGACCTTAACGAGTGGAATTGAACAAGATCCAACTCGACTCAATAAGTTCGCTAGCAATTCATTATTTTTTTTATAATTTTTTAATTGTTAGCTTAATAAATTATTTCATTAAAAGTAAAAATTCTCATTAATAATTACTAATTTACAAATAGATAATAAAAAAGATGCTAAATTGCTTATTAATAATTACCACTAATTTTATTAAATTTTCTAATAAAGAATAAGAAATGTAATGAATTATTAATTTAATTATTAATTTACTAATTATTAATAATTAATTTACTATATTTTATATCTATTAAAAGACAAGATAAAAAATTCTGATGAGCTTAACGAATAACAAGTCGAGTTGGACAATAATTTTTTTTTAACGAGCACAAACCGAGAACTGCTCAACCTACAATAGACATCATTATCACCACTCGTATTATTATTACATGTGTTGAGAATGTAATTATAAAAGATCATTGTATTTAAGTAAGAGTTCAAGGAAAGATCGAGCCGCGACCTATCCATGTACAAGTTTAAAATGTAAAGTTAAATGTCATTTTAAACATTTATGTTCTTCGAATTCACAAACTTTTAAAACAATAAATCAAAGTTTATCATTAGTATACGTAAGAAATGGATTTAGTCTATATACTTTAATTTAATTAATTCTAATTATTATTCTTTTAAAAATTTCAATACGAAGATATAATCAAATAAAAGAATAAAAAATAAATCTATAATTTACGTACAATATGTAAACTAATAACTGATTTTGACTCAATAGATTTCAAAATAAAATTAATTAGACTAAATCTAAAAATAAATCTATAATTCAAAATTCAGAAAGTGTAGAAATTAAAATTTGACAAAATAAAACTAATTAAACTAAAGCTAAAAGTTTTACACAATAGAAGGACTAATAGAAGAATTTGGAGAAAAACACTAAGAACTAGGGACGACCATTTCACACATATCCGACAGGTTGTAACCAGACTTGATTTGATCGTGACGGTTTCTTTATTTTAAAGTTTTGGGTTAAAGTTTGAATCAAATTTTTTTAAGGATGAGATTGAGTATGAATCAAATTTAGGGTGAAAAAACTCGAGTTGAATGTAAATTTTGACCTAAAAAAGAATTATATATATAAGTTAGATCACATCAGGTAGAATAAAAAAACTTGACACTAATAGATATTTATTTTACATAATAAAAACGAATTACATATAAGTTGGGTCGAATCAAGTCGAATGTATATTTTATCTAAAAATTAAAGTCACGTTTTGAGTTAACTGAGATCTTTTTTTATTTGATCGAATTAAATATAAATGAGGATATTTAATTTTTAAATCAAATTTGAATAAATAAAAAAATTTGATCTAACCCAATTATGGCCATCCTACTAAGAACCTAAAAGAAAGAGTTGCTTCATGTGGGAGGAAAAAACAAAAAAGATTCCCGTTTGTCCACAAAATGTGCAACCGCAAGAAAAATGCCCATAAACGTTGTCGTTTTGTACCGGTTACAAACAGTCCCACGTTTTCCACGCGCCATCAACGGAATTTTATTTACACCTGAGAAAAGGAAAACAAAAAGAGCGAAGCCCATTTAATATTATTAAAAAGATAAAAACATTTTGTATATCTATTTATTAATCAATTAATTTAAATAAACTATTATAGAAATTCATTATAATAATTTCAACTACTTTACTTTATAATATCAATATTCAAAGATTTGATTTTTACATATAATTTATAATACAAATATTTTAAACTTTGTAAGCTTTTTTATTTTTTTTAATAAATATTTTATTTTTTTAATTTCTTCAGACGTAAGTGTGAACAAATTTGCTGGAAATAAAGAAAGGGACCACAAAACGAACTCGGCACCGCGTCGCGGGAACGAGTCAATCATGCGTCGGCGCCATTCGTCGATCACTACAATCTTCGTCATCTGACCATCAACATTTCTCTGACTGTGAGTTAAAAGAAGGGGGGAAAAGCAAGAAAAATGAGAAAAATATAAATTAACGATTTTTGTCAAATCGATTGATATTAAAATGGATTGCTTATGCAATATTTTTCTTGTCTTTTTAATTTGATAGGATTCCCTTCGATTTCGAGACATTTTCTTTGTGGGGTTTCTAGTATTTTTTTTGATATTTTGTTTCATTTTTCATTTTATATTTTTAAATTTTGGTAATGTTGAACTTTGAGGGGTTAAGGTTTTTGCGAGGTTAGGGTTAGGGTTTTTGGAGGGGTGGTGGGTTTGGAGATGGATGAAAATTCAGAGCTTGAAGAAGGAGAAGCTTACTTTCACGATTATGAAGACGACAATATTAACCTTGATACCGCCTTCTCTTACATTGTAAGGCTCTGTTTTATTGTTATGTATTTTTTTGAAGAAAAATCCAATTATTTCTACTACTGCTTTCTCTTTCTGAAATTTGGAATTGTGCTCTAGTTAATGACATTTGAGTTTTGGGTAGGAATTAGGTTGAATTCCGAGTTCCAATATGCATTTATGATATGTAGGCAATGCAATTCTATTAAGCATAATAAGCAATGAACTTATCAGGATAAGTTGTGGCTCTGAGGCTTTAGGTTTGAGTTTATTTGTGGTATGTGAACATTGATTCACTAATAGTCTAATACAATTTGTTGGTATAGAAATGATGAAGAGTGATGATGGCGAATGTTGATAAATGAGATGATATTTTTAACTTCCTTTGCATACTTGGTGGTTATCTAGATTAATTTTTCATCAGTAGGAATGTTAAAAAACAACTAAAAGAGTAGATTTTTAATGTCTTCCTGCAGTTTTTATAGCTAGTAATGCAATGTGACAGTATTGATAATGATAAACTAGATACACCATTTTCATATCATTTTCTAACTTATTAAAAGTTTGTGGTCGTGTCACTTTACTACTAATAATTTATTGACATATTGTTTGAGAAAGACGAGACATAGAAAAGAAAGTAAATGATAAGCTGAACTTCATAAAACACTTGTCTTGTCTCTCGGTAGAAATATGCCTGTATGATCTCCGAAATTTCCTCAACATTTTGGAATTTTTTATGTTGATACTGTTTGCCAAATGCCCAATTAAATTTGATTAGCTTTATTTGTTTTCTTAACTTATTTGATCTAAATTTCTATTTGAAATATTGAACTACGATTAGCTCATATGTTCCTGAAAAGAATGAACTTCAAGATGCTTATAACAGTTGGCTTGTTGAGTCTGCTATAGCTTTACTTCAATCTGGTCTATATTGCAGTTTTAATTTACATAAACTTTCAAAATTCTCTGTGTTATTCTGATAGTAATATGGGATTTTATTTCTTAAAGGATGAGAAGATCAAAAATGTTTTGGGCCATTTTCAAAAAGATTTTGAAGGTGGAGTTTCTGCAGAAAATTTGGGTAAGTGGTTGATCGCTGTTTTAACAAATTTGCAGTTATATCACAAACTTAATGTTTTCCATTGAAGACGATGATTTGGACTTATTTTTTTTTTCAGGGGCAAAATTTGGTGGATATGGGTCATTTTTACCTACCTATGAACATTCTCCTCCAAGATTATCATGTCCGAAGATACCACAAAAAAACACCGGCATCAACCAACAATTTTTCTATGGAAGTATATGGACGATATCCTTGCTATAGTTTGTTAATTTCTTTGGAATATGTCCATAGCTGTTGCTTTGACAACTTAATGAAATTCTAGTTTACTTGAGTGCTGTGGATTGTATTACCATACAGGATGCATCTCAGAATTTGAAAGCTCCTCCAAATGCACTCCCAACTGGGAGAGCAAGGAACATTTCCTGCCCAAGTGCCAATATTGCAGCTAATCACGATTCACATTTGACTTCTGCTCAAGTTGTTGAGAAGTCTGCCTTGAAGGATGAGAGTTTTAACAGAGCAAGGATTCCAAGTGATCAGAAGACATTGAAGGTTCGAATTAAAATGCGGTCTGAAAAAAAAAGCACAAAAACTTGCTGCAATCTATAGCGGTCTTGGGCTTGATTTTTCTCCATCTTTGTCATTGGGTGACAGTCCTGATGAATGTGGAGGAACATTAATGGTATCTCAAGAAACCACCAGCAAATCACCCACTAGAATTCTCCAGGTAGAGGTTTCTTTTGGTTCTTTTCAGGTCTGCTTATGAACTAAAGAAGTATGCATTGATATTTTCTGCCTTTAAACAGGTTATGACTTCCAATCATGTCCCTGGTGGTATGCTCATATCTCCTCTTCATGACAGTCTGCTATGCTTATCAAGAAAGGAAAAATCTTCAATGTTAATAGATGATTCTGTTTTGGGTAATAGAAAACAATTACATGAGAAGAAACCAAAATTTTTAATCAGGAAAAGTGAAGAGCTGGTGGAATCAAAGCATAGAAATCACATGTATGTTGAGAGTGGGAAGACATTGCTCATAAAAAAGAAGCAAGAGACTAAGATTGCAGGGGGGGAGTCATTGCCCAATGACTTGAAACACACATCTCCATCTAGCCCTTTGAATATTGCTATGGAGGCCACCGCCAGGGTCTGTGATGTCTCTGCAGAAGCTAATCAGAATGCATTGAGGGGTGGATTGTTTTCTTCTGACTCTGGAAAGGAGGATTCTTTGGAGTCGATATCTGGAAGAAGCAGACCGAGTGGCAAGAAAAAGAAGCGGGATAAGAGGAGTAGTTTGGATGAAAAGGGTTGGGAACAAAGTGTAGATAATTCCAATAAAAATGCTTCACTCGACCTAGGGGACAATTTTGGAAGCAAATGCTACCAGAAGTCTGCTCCTTTAAAACTTGAGGAAGATTCAAAAACAAAGGTTGGTCAGATAGCCATATTTCATGTACAAAATAAAATAAGTATTCCCTCCAAGAAGGAAAAGACGCTCGAGGGCAAGAAGTCAAAAGATAGCAAAAATACTGGAGAAGTTGCTGATTCGATGAAGGAAAGCTTGAGACCTGATGTGGGTTTGACCCTTAAAGATACCACTAGTTCTAATCAAGGTTTTTCTTCAGATAAAGATAAGATTTGGAAATTGAAGTTACAGGAGGATATTAATAAGGTTCAAGGTAATGGTAGAGATGCACTGGAAACAAATTCCGAACAGAAATGGGGCCAAATGGGGTCAACAATGAGGCATTTTCAGAATAGGCTAAAAGGTTATGATCCAATGGATTTTGAGATGGAGCACGATGGCTATTTGGATAAGTTGAAGGTAAAAGTTAGTGGTAGAACAGTTGATAACCACCTGTCTGGAGTGGCTGCTCCAGATGTGGTTCCTCACCTCTATGATAGGAGGCTTCCCTCTCAGATGGCTGCACCAGCTGCACCTGCTCCTGTAGTCATAGAAGAAAATTGGGTTCTGTGTGATCGTTGTCACAAGTGGCGACTTTTGCCTTTTGATACTAGACCAGAACAACTCCCTGAGAAGTGGTTGTGTAGCATGCTTAACTGGCTGTAAGTTATTTAGATTAGTATCTAATAAATTTTTTGTTGAATATATCTCTCTTTGTTTGAGTGCACACAATGATAGGTATATGTATATATGCATTGTCCACCGTGTGTAAACATATGCATTTATATTTTTCTTTTGCTGATTTCTTTGTTGAAATCATTGTATAGGCCAAGAATGAATCAGTGTGACATTAGTGAGGATGAGACAACAAAAGCTCTCAATGCATTGTACCAGGCTTCAGTTGCTGGGAATCAAAATAACCCACAAAATCATGCAAATGGAAGTATGCCATTTATTACTTCAGCTCAGTCTCAGCATCTTGATCAGAACAACTCTAGTTTCAATTCTCAGGCTTTATCTATTCAAGTAAAGAAGAACAATGGTCTTAAGGAAGTGCAGAAAGTGGGTAGCTGTGGCCTGAATCAGATGTCAAACTCTAAAAAACAACAACAGTGGGAATCTTTGAAAAGCAAGAGCCTAAATGACATGACTCAGGCCCCTGTTGAACCAATTGTCATGAAGAAATCCTCCTTTGAAAAGAAAGAAAGGCTTATAGCCGGAGGTATTTAGTTGATATTACAGCCTGAAATTCAGTAGCAGTTGGACTTTTATATTGAGATTATTGTTATTCATTTTGAGCATTGTTTGAGTGTAGGTGAGACCAAGAAAACAAAGATGAAAAACAAGAGGGAATCTGGTCCTTATGCATATGAAGGTTCAAAGAAAAGCAAAGTAGAAGTAGAATACACTAACGAGAAACATCACAGTTCTAACTTAGATCACAGAAGGGTGGGCCTTAGTTCAAGAACTAGCTTGCCAACTCAAGCAAACGGAAGAAGCATGAAGAATTGTAATGGGGGCTCTAATTCTGGGGATGTAAAGCATGATATTAAAGAAAAATCAGTAGCTTCCGTGAAGAAACTTGTGGATCAAACTCTGGCGTCATCAGATGGTGGGTCATTAGACATGAAAATATGTGATAAAAGGGCTACTGTGAAGAAAAGGAAACCGGATGACTGGCAGGACAGTCAAAATGGGAATGAGTTGTGCATGAAGGATGAAAGTAGTGAGAGTGGTTTTAGGAATGAAAAGAAGTTACGGTTTTCTAAGATTGAAGGGAAGCAGTTCAATAGAAATGATGGTGACAGTACAACAAACAGGAAAAGTATGGATCATTTGATTGGTGGCATTGAGGATGTCCACTGTATTGATAGGAACCTGAAATTAAGTAAGCAGAAGAAAAAGTCATCATCTCAAAAAGAATTGGATGGCCTTGATTTGTCGAGAAGGGATTCCGGAACTGGACGAATTTTGATAGCAGCAACTTCTAGTTCTTCAAAGGTTTCCAGTTCTAGTAAAACCAGAGGAAATTTTGAAGAAGCAAGGGGTTCACCAGTTGAATCAGTGTCTTCATCGCCAATGAGGACCTCATATCCAGGAAAACTTGCATCAACTGCTGGTTCAGGGAAGGATGCTGCTAATAGTGGAATTCCTTCAAGTGGCAGTCTTGGAAGATGTTGGAATGGTGAAGGTGATTTTGAGCTTGCTCAATCTGGTGTAGAAATGAAAGAGAAAGTGTCAGTTGATTTTAACCCTGGATACCATAAATTTTCTACCTTGGATTATCGGGATAAAGACTCTGTTTGCAAAATCAGCATTAAAAGTAAACCTTCTTCTAGGTTGAGCCATGTGCTCAATGGTGATTCTCGTTCTGCTGAAAATGCGCAGCATACTGTAGAATGTTCCCATAATGAGGATAGACTGAACAAGGAGTGTGGTAGGAATGCATTATTTTCTCAAATATCTAAGAAGGTTTCTACTTCACAGACAAAAGACAATAAAAAATGTTCTGCTGCAGATAAGATGAAATGTAGCGAGGATGGGAAGAACTATTCTGGAAGGAGGAATCCTTCAGGACAACCATCAAGTGATAGTAGAATGGGGACCCAATAAAAAAAAAGCATGATGAATTCAGTGTAAAATCTGCTGCTCCATGCAGCAAAAAGGGGAACAATACCCCTGAGCAAAATGTGATCCAGGATTTTAGCGGTCAAACTAAAGTAATGCAAGTAGAGGTAAGAAGCGGAATGACAAAATCATCCCTGTGTTCTGGAACTGAAAGTTGGCAAGAGAAAAAGTGTCATCGAACAGTCCCAGAAGCAGAACATGGAGTTGTCTCTGATGAGGTTCCAGTTAATGGTTCTTCCAGCGTCAATGTGTCAAAGGCTCTAAAACAGCCTGGAAAAGCTAGCAGCAAGAATGCTTGCAGTCTTGTGAGAGAAAATTCCTTCAGCCTGACAGTAACAAATGCACTGAATGATGCTAAAGGACTTAGAATTTATGCCGATCGTCTAAAGGTTTCTTTTCAGATTTTGTCCTTATATTGATAAGCTTCTTCCATAAAAAGTTATATAACAGAAATGGTTTTGTTATTCTAACTGTTACTACCATTTCCTTGCCCATTTTCAGAGTTCTGGCTTTGTTTTTGAAAGCAATGAGATTTACTTCCAAGCTGCTCTTAAGTTTTTGGTGTTGCTGCCCTTCTAGAGACCAGTAATAGTGAGAGCGGTAGACATGGAGACATGAACCAAATGCAAGTGTATAGCATTGCCACTAAACTTTGCGAGTAAGTGAATGTTTCTAAAGTGAAGGGAAACTGTTGTTTCTTGAGCTTGAATATAATTTTTTGGTTTAAATTAACAGTATGAGGGTTGATATATCCCTATATTTTGCTCTATCTTGAAATTCTCAATTTGACAGAATGTGTGCCCAAGAATATGAAAAATGCCAAGAAATGGCTGCTGCTACTTTGGCCTATAAATGCGTGGAGGTAGCGTACATAAGGGTTGTTTTTTGCAAACATTCTTCTAGCAGCAGAGACCTGAAAGAGTTGCAAGCAACTCTACAGATGGTCCCCCAAGGTAAGAAGTCATTGGAGGAATACTTGGATTTTTCCCCATGATTTATTGCCAATCCCTTTAGATGGTATGAACCTTCTATATTGTAATGTTTCATTTTAAAATGTGAATTATGTGCAATATAAGTTGTGTCCTCTTTAGGGCAGGAGCTCTGCAACTGTGATTTGTTTATTTGGCAATCAGCAGTGCACGTTGTTTTATGCCATGTAGATATTTCATATTTGGTTTTCCCTTCCTACAGAGCACTCATTGGGCTAGTGCCCCAATTGTAATTGCATATCATGCTTTAAGGAGTCTAACATAAAGTATCCACTGTAAATATATGCTTTTTGTTTTGGTTAAGGTGCGACATCAGTTGAAAATTTTGTTTCTTTCATATTAATTAGTAGTCTCGCTTTCATGATGCAATGCTCAGATTAAATACTTCCCAACATCATTTTAAATGGCCTCTTTCAGGTGAATCTCCATCATCTCCTGTATCAGATGTTGATAATAACTTAAATAATCAAGCAATTGTAGACAAGGCTCCATTAGCCAAGGGAAATGTTTCACATGTTGCTGGAACCCATGCCGTTGTTGCTAGAAACTGCCCGAGTTTCAGACGGCTGCTTGACTTTGTAAGTTATTTCTGTCTGAAAGTGCTAATCTTCCCCATCACCATCCTCTCTCTTTCTCTCGCTCTATTACGCAGTGATTATGCCTATAAAATATTCTTTTCCACTTGAATGTTCCTTCATAGTTGAAGACCATTATATGGACTTATAAAGTAGTTATGAGGTGGTTGAAGATGGATATGTGTTAATTTGGTGGAAATAAGATGATAATCTGAATCCTATCAAAAAAAAAAAGATGATAATCTGAATGAAGACTTGTCGAACAGGATAATGACTAATGAGATTACCTAGCAGGCTAGCCCTGGCATACAGTATAGATTTGCATTTTCTGACCAGGGTTCTTTGGTAGTGTAGGTCTTTCTTAACATGCTGGCAGTAGAAATAATTCTTTTTATTGTTTTGCTATATGATTAGAACAGGAAGTCAATGCACTTGTTTTTATGTACCGTCTAATAGATTGGTGTTAACACCCTGGCCAACCTTCTTGTAGATTTAGTGTCAGGCTTATGCTGTTTTTCTGCTTAATTTGAGAGTTTGCCTGTCCTGGAGTTTGGAAAAAAGAAAAAAATAATAAATAAGATCTGAAGTCTGTGCGATGTTTATTTTAAATAAAGCTACAAAATCATTCCGTACTGGTCATAGATAACCACCTGGTATAATCTCATACGAACTTGGTAAGAGTTCTGTCTCTCAATGTCTATGCTAGCTGATTAGGTGGTTCAAGTAGGTTAAATGTGTTAATAAGTTAATGTTCTGCAGACACAGGATGCAAGTTTTGCCATGGAGGCCTCTAGAAAATCCCAAACATGTTTCATAGCTGCTACTTCATCTCTGGAAGATCCACAAAATATAGAGTGGATTGCTTCTGTTAAAAAGGTGATTGATTTCGGCTTTCAAGATGTAGATGAACTTATATCTTTGGTTCAGCAGGCTACGCAGGCCATAAGTCGTTCTGGCTAGGTAGTGCTAGAGATTAAACACCCTGTATATAATTTTTTGTTTTTCTTTTTATAACCCTCCCGATGCGCATTGGAGAAGAAAGGTGAAAAAGATGCCTACATAGACCTGCATTTGGAAACAAACAAAGACACCGGTCGTGAACAAACTATTGCCTCAGTGTACATCTGTATAAAGTGAGATTGATTTGCAAATTTGCAATGTATATTTTTTCTTAGCCTACTCATCAATAAGAGCACATGATGCTCGCAAAGAGGGGAAATTCTAGCTTGTTCAGCTAGAGATTCGGAGTTCTATTTAAGATATCGGTTCTTATCGTACTTTATTTTTCGCTCCATTTTTTCGGGGCCGAGGAAAAGAATATATAGGGAGTTCGGAATTCATTAGGCAATCATTTTCAATAGGTTGAATACTGATTAGTTTTGAGAAATAATCAATTTATCCACTAACAGTTCTCTATTCTGTTTCCAAATTCTCTCTCGGAATTCTATTGGAACCGAAAATTATATTCTTTTGGAAGATGGTTGTGTATTTAATTGTTGTCTAGCTGAGTTTGATTCAGATAACAGTGCAGGTTTCCAACATAAAGATTTTTCTGGTGCTTGTTTCTCCCTTGTTCTGGCTTGTTTCCATCGCTTGTTAGAACTGCAGGATATCTATGTTACTTGGATTCGAGAGTCGGATACGTTAACATTTCGTATTATATAAGATTTTAATATGTTTGTCTTTGTATCATATTCGGATTATGTAACTAAATGTATTAATCGGATTCGGGGCTTGTGTCATATACCATCATTTCAATACCCTTATCTCAACTACCAAAGCTACAAAATATCCTAATTAACAAAACCCTAAGTGTCAGAATTTGCCAAAAAAAATCATAACTTTAAGCAACAAAGTTGTGACTTGAAACACTAGCAACATTTTCTCAGCAACCAAACAAGAAATTAAATTTAACATTGAAGTAAAGATTAACAAGAAAGCCCGTTCTCTCAAACATGGATCATGTTGCTTCTCATCCTTCAGGAGATTCATCAGCCTGTTTCTTCTCTTTCATTTCATTTTCATAAACAGATATCAATTCATATTCAACAATCTGTAGCCATTTGAAAATGAGAAAAATAAGTCAGAAACAGAGACTTATGTTACTTGGACATGAGTGTGAGTGTCGGACATGTATCGTGTTCGACATGAGTACTTCCAAGTAAAGAAGCGAAACAAGAAACGAACCTCAAGTAACTTCTTTTGGCTCGTATTCTGCAAATAACAAGAAACTGTCTCTCTTTCATGTTTCAAGTAGCATTCAACCTAAATTTTCAACATAAAAAATGCAGAAGATTGATCAGTTCTGGATGGAAAACAGGGATTTAAATGCATCTGAATACATGTCTGCGACCGCACCTTAAGCATGTAATCGTTGTAAGATCCATTTTTGATCCAGTTAGCGGCCTTGGTGGAATAAAATGCAGCAGTAGCTTTAAGCATGGCTTCTTCAAAGTCTCGTTCATAGTATTTCATCGAGCCTTGCCCAACATCTACATAGATACCTACAATGTTCTTCACCAAGGTTTGATCAATGCCTTCTCCTTCCCGCTCCTGATTGATCTAAATTAAAACCAGATACTTTACGACATTTAAGTAGTTGTAAATGCAGCAAGACCGAAAACGCGAATTTTAAGTATAGAAGAAATGCATGCAGAAGCTTGTTCATACCATGGACAATACAACATCTCTGATTTGATTATTGAATTCTCCAAATACCTTGACAAAACAACACATCCATATAACTAAAATTTAGGTTTGTCATTGAATATTGTTGAAGCATTTCATGTTCATAGGGCATTTGCGTTCAATTTTTTATGAGATTTTGTCTCTCGTACTCTTCTGTTTGTGTGCGGAAAGATTCGATCTCATAACCTTAAGTATGACTCGAATCTTCCTACACACAAATGCTCACATTTCACATTTATGTAAACCTTTCGTGACTCTTCATATGATCGAGTGAACGACAAATACGTAGACACCTCAGAAATACAATATCGAATATTATATACAAAAGAATTTAGGACTGACCAGATTATAGAACGATAAAAGAGCAGAGTCTTGGAGAGTAGGAAGCTTCCTTTTAGGAGCAAAGTATCTATCCAAATAGTGAAAGAATCTAACGAGCCATCTGGTCATAACTTTGTGATTTGACCATCTTTTTACTGTCTCTTTCACCAAAGCTTCATCTTCTTTCCCTTGCAGTGATGGCAAAACCTGGCTGTTGATGTAATCTTTGAAAACATCGTTATACTTCTCATATAATACCTCACACATTCCACCAGTAGGGTTAGGATTACACATGTTGTACACAGTTCTAACAATTAGTTAAGGAAACCTACCATTTTTACGATCTGAAAGTATCAACCGAGCAAAGACTCAATCAACTATTGATCAGTAGGATTAGGCTTACACATGTTGTACACAGTTCTAGCAATCAGTTAAGGAAACCTACCATTTTACTATCGGAATGTATCAACTATTAACCGATCGCTAAGACTCAATCGACTATTGACTAGTAGGGTTAGACTTACACATGTTGTACATAGTTCTAGCAATTAGTTAAGGAAGCCTACCATTTTTACGATCCGAATGTATCAACCGAGTTAAGACTCAATCAACTATTGATCAGTAGAGTTAGGCATACACATGTTGTACACAGTTCTTGCAATTAGTTAAGCAGAACCCACCAATTTTTACGATCTGAATGTATCAACTGAACTAAGTCTCGATTGACTATTGATCAAAAGGGTTAGGCTTACAGATGTTGTACACAGTTCAAGCAATCAGTTAAGAAAACCCACCATTTTTTACTATCCGAATATATCAACTGAGCTTAGACTCGATCGACTATTGACGTTAAAATCGAATAAAAGGATACGTGTAGATGTTCATGTACTCTTGGGATGAAAAACTTTGGGTCTTGTCGCCTTCTATGATCTGAATCAGTTTGTCGATTCCTTGTTGAATCACTGCCCATCCTTCTTCAACCTCCATCATCATGTGCTGTTGATGTTCTTCGGTGCCTGCCATGGTTTTCAAGGAAATGAGATGGAAGATGGTCTGGAATTTGATAATGTAACAATCGTTGACTGAAAAGACTTTGAATTTTCTTGTCTGCTAAAGCCGTTGAGTGGAAGTTTCTTTCATGATTCCTTTATTTTACCCAAAGCAAACTTCGTCGTCCTCTTGATCAAACTAGTCATCATCAATATATTGGGTAAAAAACACAGGATGTCACATACTATATAAAATTATATTTTTGGTCAACAACCTTTTAATTATTACAAAATAGTCATTAGACTTCTTAAACAGTTACAAAATGATTTCCTACAACGTTAGAATAATAATATTTTTTATAAGACCATCTTATAATAGTTCGATAAATTTTAATCATCATTTTATAATTTAAAAGATTAATAATATTTTTTAACATTAGAAAGATTATTGACCAAAAACATCTCAAAACAATTAAATAAGGGTTTAATATTTTCGTGTCTATTCAAATAATAACCTGACCTTTTAAAACGGTTGAATAAGAGCTTAACATTTTTTTTAATAAACTCAAGTAGGCTCTAAAACTTTTCAAAAACATTATTTTAAATACACTTATTTGATGAAATTTAAAATTGTTGAATCCTTATTTAACCGTTTTAAAAGGATAAACACCTATTTTAAAAGACCTTGTTTGAAGATGCATGGGAAAAAATGTTGTTGATATTAAAGGGAGTATATATAAAATAGACTCCTTTAATTGCATGCAAAAATTAATTAAGGCACTGATTTTTTTCCCTTTCGATTTTAAAATTTTATCTTGATTAATCTCGATTGACTTGTATCGTGCATCTAATTTTGATAGATGAGTTTCTCAGCAAATATTTTTTTACATATATAAAGTTTTAAACTCGAGAGATGCTTAAACAAAATCTAATTAATTTTAAGATTAATTGACAGTACACGTCATGTTATTCATTGTATAATCAAGAGACAAATTTTGTAATTTAATACTTTTAAAATTTTATTTTTATTTTTATTTTTTAGATATACAAGTATTATATTTCTGAACCGTAATATATCACAATCTTTTAATTAAAGACTGATTTGATTATAATTTTTTTATATAATAATACATTTAATAAATAATTTAATATAGGAACTCATTTGATTTTTAGGTATAATTAAAGTAAGGCAAACCAACGTTGTTTCATAGAAAATCACCACGTGGTAAACAAGAATCAACCGTCACTCTGCTATATTAAAGAAACTAGCGCGTGGTCTCCACACATGATTTATCCTCTTTTTCCTTCGTAGCTCTCTTTCTACCCGAATAAATCCCAGAAATAATAACGTTGGACAGTTTTAATATACGGTTAAAAAAAGATGTTATCAGTTTTATTATTGTTTAAATAATAAAATCAATAAAAAATGATCGAAAACATTATTAGGCGTAAAAAATGACCGATTTTGTTATTATTAGACATTTTAACCGAATTTTCAAAAGAAATATCAAAAACATTATTAAACGCTAAAAAATAACCGAAAATATTACTAGACGTTAAAAATATTAAAAAATAATATTTTAAATAAAAATAATAATATTATCAATAATTTTTATCAATTTTATTATTTAAATAATAATAAAACTGATAATAACTTATTTTAAACTTAAATTAAAGTGTCCGGGTTTTTAAAGACCGTATAGTTTGGGAACAATGATATAGAAGCAAAATAGCAATCTGGGTGTTTTCCTTTATCCCGGAAAGCAGAAGGTTATAACTAAATGGGCGGAGAAATAAGGGAGAAAATGGGTCAGGCATTTCGTCGAGCGACTGGTAGGCTCCGATCGGTGGATCAATCACAACCCACAAAAAACAAGAAGACCTTTGGGTCCCACCGATGAACAGAAGATACCCAGAGCTTCCCAGCATGAAGGTAATTCATTTCCCTATTCAGATAAAATGAAAGTTAATTTTTACTTTGAGTTCTTATGTTTCCTGGTAGATGATTGAATTTGAATCTTTGGGATTTAAAGGTAGAGTTACGAGAAGTAATCCTGAGAATGTGCTGGAAGAAAGAGATCCCAAGTATGATGCAATGCTTAGTCAAATAGTGGGTAGGATTTCAGCTAAGCCTGGTGGCAAACTTGAGATGGGTGAGGTCAGTTCAGTTCATTAAAGTTTTATTTCTCTTTTCTCTAATTTGGTTATATTTTAGTGAATAACAGTTAATTCAAAAAGGTAATTTATAGCTGTAATAGTTAATTCAAAAAGGTAATTTATAGCTATAATAGTGTTCGATAGAATCAAAACAATGCCTTAGGTAGGATTTCCCCCCCAAAGGTTTCCACTTGAAGGAAATGGAATGTAGAGACTAGGAAACCATTCAAAGAACTAAACCACTAAACATATTTGAAGTAAAATTGCTCAGAAGTTTGATTCATGGACTGGCTATGCCTTATAGCCGTTTCAATTCTATTATCCAAAAAAGCCCTTTCTTCATATTGAGAACCTAAAATCGAACAAAACTACTAAGTGAGACTCAATCTCGTTTAATAAAAACAGAAACCTGCTTTTGAGTTGAAAAGCTGGAATGGAGAGAGATAGTGACGTTGAGAGAGTAAAATTGAGAGGGGAATTTTCTTCAGAGAATGTTTGGACGGCGTTCGTTGATCATCTCAGTAAAAGAGTGTCTCGACGAGAGTTAAGGGAGTTGTTTTCATCTCACGGTCCGGTAGTCAGAGTGTTCATTCCCAGAGAAACAAGGAATCCGAAATACAAATTCTTCACTTTTGCTTTTGTGCATTTTGGCAATGAGGAAAGTCTAAGAAGGGCGATAGCCAAACTGAATGGTTCGATGATTGATGGTTGGAGGATTTCAGTGGGTACTGCAAGATACAAGGATGCTAGGGTGAGGTCAGTCGGGAAGAACACTTCTTTGGTGATGCCTTCAAGGTCGAACACAGAAGATCTTTCAAGGTTCAAAGAGAAAGGTGTTATTAACAGGAGTGTAAGGGATACAAGATCTTACAAGGAGGCCTTACTGTCTGATAGATTGAAGAACAATGCATCGGACCATAGGGATCGGTCGATCGATGGTTTCAACAGGAGGAAAGGTATAAAAATAGTTGGGAAATGCATATTCCGTCTGAGAGCTCCAGTTGGGTGAAGAGATCATTAACGGGGATCATCAAACATTCTTTTGAGTTCGAATTAGTCCAGAAGGCCTTAGTTAATGAAGGTTTTGATGTCCAGATCTCCAGATGGGGTTATGTCTGGAATTCGTGTGTTATTACATTTAAGTCGACTGAAGAAATGATGGATGCATGGCTAGAGAAAATGATGAGTTATTTTTCTGGTTTGATAGGTTGGCACTTTTATTGAACGATGATGGTGTTCCAATGGCTTTTTGCCTCGTACATCTGTTTGGGGTTCCATTGTTATGTTGGCAAAATTCCTTTTTGGAACGGGTAGCAGGAAAGTGGGGATTGGTGGAAGAGATTCATGAAGATATAGTTATCAGAGCAGACCTATCGATGGTGAAGATTTTGGTTAGGGTGGCCAGCCCTTATGACGTCCCTGAGGAGATAACTATTGGATCCTATGGAAGATCGTTCAAAGTTAAGATTAAGCTGGGTTCGGTGCTTGAGTATTCTTCCGTTTCCTTTAACAAGTCGCCGGTGGGAGGTTCCGACGATAGACAATTTGGTGAGGAATTTTCTGGAGACAAGGTTGACAGTAGTCTGTCAGATAGCATGGAAAGTGCTGAACGTTCAGAAGAAAACAACAGACAAAAGGTAGATATTTGGTTTGACCAAGGAGCTAACACGGGTTTGGTTGGAGTTGGTGAGGAAATTCAACTCCCAACGTTTAACAAAGTTGGGAAAGGCATTAATTGTGTGCTGTCAGCGTGTCAGGATCTTGGACTAACAATTTTGGTGAATACGCGGGTTTGGGATGTAGATTTTCAAATTTTTCGGCTGATGGGTCTATAGCCCAATCATCAGATAATGGGCAACTTGGTTCTCCACCTCTAAAAATTATTCCAGCTGGGCCTGGTGTTAAGCTGGATAAATTTGGGAAAATGGACCAGAAGCAGTTTCTGGTTGAATTTGCAAACTCAAAGGAAGATAAAAATGGAGGTATGCCACTTTCTGGTTTGAGAAAGTGTTCTAGAGGATTGGAATCAAATTTAGAGGAAAAGTCGATTGACTACATTTTATGTTCTGGAAGTAAGATTTCCAGGGGAAGAACGCTTGATCGACCCAACTCTCCATTGACTACAAAGAGTGAACCGTTGGAAAAGAGAAGTATTAGCTTCAAAAGGGTCTACAAGAGATCCAGGGAGAGAAGACATTGGTTAGAGAAAGATGAAATTGTTGTTCCTCGAGAAGAGGAATCTCTAGAGAGGCTAAATGGGAAGATTTTGGATCCTAATTCAGTTCTGCCGGTCAGTGCAGTTGCAGAACCTAATTTGGAAGGTTGTATGGGGTCTACTTTGGAGAGACAGGTTGTTGACAGCAGTTTGGATAGTATATGGGAAGGGTGGCACTTAGAAGGAGATAGTTATTCCTTCAACTCTAAGTCCTTTAATAGAAGAGCCAAAAGATTGTTGACCAGATTGGCATTGGATCAAGTTAGCATTGAAACAGTTTCTTCTTCAGATTTTGTTGTTCTTTTGGAGGAAGCTATAGCTACTTGGGAAATCAGTAATAGATTGGGTGTGTCTTTCAAGGGTGGGAAATCATCTTTTTTGGAGAAATCATAAAGTTGGAGGAGGATTTGAGGCTGGTTTGATTTTCGGTGTTTATTGGGTTTTCTAATACTTATTTGAATCATGATGAAATTTCAATTAGCCATTATTACGTGGAACGTTAGGGGTTTGGGAAGGAAGGAAAAACACAGAGCTGTTCAAAATCTAGTTTTAAAGAGACGTCCTATTCTTCTTCTATTGCAAGAAACAAAAGTGGAGAAGGTTCAGGGACAATTTCTAAGGAGAAGTGGTTTGAATACTCTTCAAGGTTTTGCAGAATCTCCAGCAGTGGGTTCTTCTGGAGGGCTATTGAGTTGCTGGGATGAGTGCTCTTTTGAAGTTGACAACCTTATTATAAACAGAAGGTTTATTGCAGTTTTTGGAAAGTTTCTAACTTCACAGTTTAGGTGTGGTTTTATTAATGTTTATGGGCCTAGTATCGAAGAAGAGAAAGCAAGCTTCTTTGAAGAGTTAGCTGTTTTTATTTGTGGACTGAATATCCCTTTATGTGTGGGAGGTGATTTTAATGTGCATCTTTCTGAAGAAGAGAAGGTGGGGAGAGCTCCAAACAGAAGTTCAATAAGAATTTTCAGCCAATTTCTGCAACATACAGGGTTAATTGATTTACCTTTACATGGGGGCAGATTCACTTGGTGTACCAACCAGGATTTACCCACCTATGTTAGACTGGACAGGTTCCTCGTTGATGTTCATTTCCTAGAAGCATTTCCTGATGTTACACAATACTTGTTGCCAAGGTCAGTGTCAGATCATAATGCTGTTTTTCTGGAGAATGAGGGGGTCAGTTGGGAGAAGAAACCGTTCAAACTCTTTAATTATTTGATGGAAGAGGACGGTTTCCAGAATTTAGTTGAGTCTACTGTTAAAGAATGCAAGTCTGATCAGAGGAAAGCAAGAATTCTATCTATCCTGAAATCCACTAAACTGTCGATCAAACAATGGGCGGGGAAAAGAGACCATTTTCCTTCTGTAGAGATTACAGATTTAGAAAAGAGGATTCACTTGGAAGAGGTGAACTTGCAGCAGAGGCAAGGTACATATGTTTGGGACACAGGATCAGATTTGAACAATATGAGATCAGAATTATGGAGGTTGTATAAGATTGAAGAACAAATATGGTTTCAAAAATCGAGAGCTAGATGGGTAGAAGAAGGGGACCGCAATACAAGATTTTTTCATACTTGTGCGTTGATTAGGAGAAAGAGGAATTCCATGAATGTTTTGAATGTCAATGGAGAGATAACTCAAGATCCATCTGTCATCAAAGCTTGTGTCAAAGATCATTTTTTTGGAATTTACAACTCTAGTTCTACTTTGGAAGTAGAAGATATGAAGATGAATTTTTCAAAAATTTCAGTGGAGCAAAGTAATATTCTGGAAAAAGAATTCACGGAGGAAGAAATATGGGAGACTCTACAATCATGTGATAGCAACAAAGCTCCCGGCCCGGATGATTTAATATGGGTTTCTTCAAGAAATTTTGGGTTGTTCTTAAGGTTGATATTCTGAAATTCTTTCATAACTTTTATTTAGTAAAAGATTGGGAACATGGAGTAAATCATACTTTCATTACTCTTATCCCCAAGGTGGCCAATATTGGTGGATTAGATGACTATAGACCTATAAGCCTTGTAGGAGGTTTGTACAAGATCCTCTCAAAATGTCTTTCGAGGATTAAGGAATTGCATTTCTGATGTAATGAGCCCTATGCAGTTTGCTTTCATTCCAGGTCGTCAATTCTGGATTGTTCTCTTATAGCCAATGAGGGGATTGATTTTTGGAGGAAAAAGGGACTCAAAGGATGTGTGTTTAAAGTGGATTTTAGAAGGGCATATGACACTGTGGATTGGTCTATTCTTTTTAAGGTTATGGAGAAAATGGGTTTCGGTTCTAAATGGAGAAGTTGGATAAAACAATGTGTTACTACTGCTTCTATTTCAGTTTTGATAAATGGGGTACCTTCTCAGGAATTCCTATGGCAAGGGGTCTCCGCCAGGGCTGTTCTCTTTCGCCCTTGCTTTTTAACTTAGTTGGGGAACTCCTAAATGTCTTGCTCTTAAAGGTTGTCTCTGATGGATTGTTTTCTGGTCTGCATATTGGGAGGAATGAGACTGCTTTCAACTTATCTCATCTGCAATTTGCAGACGACCTAATTATTTTCTGTGGGGCTTCGAAAATGGAGATTTCAAATGTTAAAAGGGTTTTAAGAGTGTTTGAAGTTATGTCTGGTCTGCAGTTGAATCTTAAGAAAAGCAAGTTATTTGGTGTTAATACGGCTACATAGGAGGTAGAGGAGTGGGCGTCGTCTATTGGCTGTGCAGTGGGGAAATTTCCTTCTGAGTATCTAGGTCTGCCGCTTGGTGCAACGGAATTCAACATCTCTTTGGGATCCGGTTGTTTCAAAATTTAACAACAAACTAGCAGGTTGGAAAGCTGCCACCCTTTCCTTGGCAGGGAGATTAGTTTTGATTAAATCGGTTCTCTGTTCTCTTCCTACTTACTACTTGTCTATATTCAAAATTCCATCACCAGTAACTTCTAAACTCAACTCAATCATGTCTAAGTTCTTATGGGGAGGTGGAGCGAAGAAAATAAGATTCATTGGGTTAGTTGGCTTAACGTGTGCAAGCCAAAGGAGGCTGGTGGTTTAGGAGTGTTAAATATTAGCAATATGAACAGAGAACTATTGGGGAAATGGTCTTGGAGATTTGCTAATGACAAGGATGCTGTTTGGAGGAGAATGATCTGTTCAAAATACAATATTGATCCTTTTTCTTTATTGTTCAATAGCAAAATCCCAGCTCAAGCTTCTTGGATTTGGAGCTCGGTGGCGAATTCTTATTTTAAAGAAGACTCTTTTGGTTGTTATTTCCGCAGCATGTTCAGACTAGGAGTTGGGAATGGTCAATTTATTCAGTTTTGGCAGGACAAATGGGCAATGGACTACCCTCTTAAGGTTTCTTTTCCGAGACTGTTCGCAATCTCTACAA